GGGATGGGGATGGGGATGAGGACAAGGCTGTGAACAGGCACTGAGCCATGTCCAATCCCACTCCCAATCCCATTCCCACTCCCAATGCCAGGCTGGAGGCGGAGCTGGCCATCCGCGTGTCCGTGGACGGCGACATCGCGGGGCTGCGCAAGGTCCTGGACGACACGAACCTGACGCGGCTGCAGCTGGAGGGGGAGATCGAGGCCCTGCGGGAGGAGCTGATCCTCATGCGCAAGGAGCACGACCAGGTGGGGCCCGGGGGGGTTCGGGGGGGGCCCAGTGAGGTGGTGAATAAGGCAGGAACCCCGCCCGTGACACAACCGGGGCAGAATTCAGGTTTATTACAAAACACTTTGGTTTAAATACAACTCTTAAACATTGTCACATGATCTCCCAACCAATGACAACCAGGTATTGACTGAGCATTGCGTGAGAACCCGGGAAACTACAACTCCCATGATTCCTTGCTACACCTCCCCCTTCCCTAAATAATTAACTAGATGTAAAACAAAACATTTTTAAGCATTCTTAATGTAAGCAATCTTATCTTAACTGTTTCTAAAAACCAGGGCCTTTATTGAACTGTTTACAACTTTATTGGTTCGTGCAATATTCGAGCAACCTGAAATGACCCTGGGTTTGTAGATATGTAGGACCTTTCATCTGAGGGTGATTTTATGTGATTGGGCAGAGGCATCACCTTTATTTGAAAGGGAAACGTGTCGGGTTGTGGATGTTGTGTTTGAAGCAGTTGATGCCTGCTCAGCTGGTGCTAAGAAAAAAAACTTGGAAGCAGTTAATTGAGGGTGAGATAAGGAAAGGGTTTAATTGTGCCAAGGCAGGAGATGTTACAGGACGCGCCCTCGCTGTGCCTGAGATGTTGCATTTTATAATAATATCTGTCCAATCCCAAGTGTGTCCACCCCGTAGCCTTTGCTCTGCTCCACCCCCTGGAATTGGGTCTGTGGGCTTTGAGACCCTCTCTTCATCAATCTTCATCTTCTTCGGGGCACAGAGGGCACAGGGTCACCCAGTTCCTGACTCTGTTCTGCGGTTTAGGCCAAGATACAAACGTTTCCCAAACAGAACAGGCCTTGCCTTGACAAGAGACTAAACATTCCTGCTGGATTCGGGGGCAGGAGTGATATAGGATACATGGAATGGGGCAAGAGGGTTAAGGAATGTGTAAATAAAGGGTGCTACAGGGAAGAGGGACAAGGGCCGCTGCTTTTAAAATCTACCTCTGCTACTTATAAAACTTATAAGGCTCACAAAAATCAGAAAAATAAAAAACCATTGGGGGCTTAAGGCATCATAGTGCTGGTTGAGGTGGTTTTGTTGAATGAGTGTTTAGGAATTTGGGGAGAATTAACCATCCCCTGTCCCCCCAGGAGGTGCAGGGGCTGCGGGCGCAGGTGGAGGGTTCGGCGCTCACGGTCGAGGTGGACGCGCCGAGGGCGCAGGACCTGGGCAAGGTCCTGGGGGAGCTGCGGGCCCAGTATGATGCCCTGGCCCAGAAAAACCTGGAGGAGCTGGAGAAGCAGTGGGGGCAGCAGGTGGGCATCCCAAAAAACCCGAATCGACCCCCCATAAAAATCCCAAACCCCAAAATCCTCCCTTCCCGAAATACCCCTCCTCAAAAATCCCCTCCCCGCATCCAAACCCTGGCCCAGAAAAACCTGGAGGAGCTGGAGGAGCAGTGGGGGCAGCAGGTGGGGAA